TTTTTTTTTCAATTTCTTCTTCACTTTGATCCTGACTGAACATTGAAGGAAAGCTGGCTAACCTGGTTTTTTCGTTTTGAATGAGAGTGTCCCGCATATCTTAATATCGCTTTTTATTCCATTGAGCGAAGGAACAGTGCGATGGACGATGGGCTGTCAATAGGTCCGACAAGGTTCTCGGATGTTTGCTAGGCGGCGCGGGAACGGTACCAAATCACTAGCTTGGTGTAGATTGGGACTTCCCAAGCGTTTACGGGTCGACTATGGCAGCAATTTACCTGACCAAACTGCTGATGACTAATTGGAATATCCGGACGGACTCGGGAAACAAATGGGGAATCCTGCTCGTATCCGTACCTGGGAAAGCCACAGAATTTCCATAGCTGTCCCAATTGTAGGACAGTTATTGGGCCGGGCAGTGATGAGGACAAATACTGGGTCTTTTATTTCGGACAGTATGATCATTGACCATTGGCATTAGACCAATTTCTAGCTACAATAATGGAAACTGGACTCTGCAAGCCTGCTGCTACAACGAGCTCTGTACAAGCGTGGCGCAATTTTCACACATCATCGCTGTTAACGGTTGGATGGCACAGCGGCCCCATAAACCGCATTCGCCGCGCAGTGGCTACAAGTTTAGCACGTCCACACACTGCTCACTGCATCCGGTATTGCAGCGATCGATGGAGATCGCAACTGCAGTTGCAGTGAAGTGGGGGTCACAGGTCCTCAAGAATGTAGTGGGTAGGTACACAGTACAACTACACACTATCCGAACATTTGAGACCTCTGTTCTGCATAGCGAGGGGCGAGACCTGCTTTGTGCCTAAAATTGTTATACCTATGCCTTCTTTTTCCCAAAAAGTATACACCTTTAAGGCAATGCACCTGCACAGTTCGATGAGAACGGTTCTATTCCTTAGGGCCTATTCGACGAAACGAGGGACGAAAAAAATTATAGGTAGCGGCTGCATACACATTATGAATTAATAAATGCTGTTTGTTGCCAACATTTTCAACCACATTTTAATTTTTCCTTTCGATAATGCCCGATTTTATTATAGCTTCGTTCCGGGACCACGCGGTCGATGATTTCACCGTTCGTGTCGGAACCCTTCTTCTGCTGTCCCTCCACCTCAGCCGCCTGTCTCAGCTCACTGCCTGCCAGGCGTCCCAGGTAGCTATACCGTGGATTTTCGGCCCGTGCTGCACAACTCCACCACAGTTTCTATTTTATTCTCAATTGTCTCGGCACCTAGTGTCGGAAGCGTTCGCGAGCTTCTCCGTAACTCGGTTCAGCCGCAATGGAGCTGTCTGCAGACGTGGCGGCGCCATCGGGGTCAAGGAACTGAGCTTTGTGGTGCCGCTGTTGCTAGGCTCTGTTACCAACTCCTCCCCCCCCCAACCCACTCGACCGTCGTCGTTACTAACGTCCATGTGCGGTTTATGGTTCAAAGGCACATTTTGGTGGTGTTGTGTGACTGGTGTTGCAGAGTTTTGATTTACATTTTCATTTAGTCCCTTATTTTATTGGGTCTCAAATGTCATTCAACTGTATTTTCAACGCAATGTTACGAGTACAAACGGCTATTGTACAGTCAACTTATTACATTTTATCAACAGGTAGTCACCTATAGGCCTACCTACTACAAATAGACAAGACCTAAAAGGCACAAACAGTGCTGAGATACCTAAGCAGCTCAGACAAGTCTCATTTTTGGCTATGCAACCGTATTCTTATCCTGCTAATCGACTGCTGATCAGTACCGATGTAGATGCGTTCAAAGTTCATAATGAAACAGTTGAAACTTGATACACATGCCTACCGTTACTCGAAATTCACGAAACAATGAAATCTAAAAAGTGTTAGGTAAAAAAACTGCCAACAGACTGCAAATGCCAAAAAGATATCGTTCTTGCGTCTAAGCAGCAAAAGCATGAATCATTTGGCAAAAAAGGCATTCAAAGCTGATTGGTAGGTATTATCGCTATCAAATCCTAGTTCGAGGATATCGTTGATATAAGAGTTGCTGTGAGCCGCGCCATGGATGATCTCATCCATGACCGTACTGAAATAATGCGCAACCCTCGCTTGACGAAACTCTTCTACAGCACCTTGTTGACCTCGTCCGCGGTTCGATAACTCTTAATAAGATAGTTTGCTGATGAAATGTACGTAGGGTCAAGAGCTCCTTAGATTATGCGTGCTTCGAATTGCAGATACGATAGGCATAGCTAAAATCCACTGTGGTCTGTGATAATGATGTGCTTAATCCTACTTCACAAATTTCAGTAAGATAGTCCACTTCTATTTCACTTACATATGAACTGAGATTAGATATCTATGTAACTATATATAGGTTTTTATTGTCAACAAGACACTTCATTCTTGCTTCCGTTTTTACGTTGCAAGCCGTCCGAATAAAATCAAAACAGAACAACTACTACATATGTAACATATTTGGCGACTCCGTCGTCGCGCTCAGCAAGATTTCGATTCAGTCTTCTTGTAGATTCCTCAAGATAGACCGCTGCCTTTCAGAAGGACATTGACCGCTGTTTCTCGAACGTCGTCCTGGTCTGCGTTCCCACTCCAATGTCGCTGAGGGCATCCGGCCTCTCCGACATTTCTATGGCGATGTTATCGTAGCAGAACTGATGCTGCATCTTGCAGCCGTCCTCCGCGTTGTAGCGTCTTCCTTCCAGCAGCGCCACGCGCCACCACGTGACATCCTCTAGAGGACGGCGAGCGGCTGTCAGGGAGATAGGATGCTCGAGGGGTAGGAAGCGCCTCCACTGGGCAAGTCTGGGGCGTCTGGTAGCCGGACACTCCTCCCCGCAGCTCTGTAGAGAGGAGGTTTCGGTCTGCGCGTTCGGCTGGTCCTTGCGTGGCCCGATGGGGCGTGTCACGCCAGTGAGGATGTGAGGAGGCTGGTGCGACCTCCCGGCACCGACGGCCGTTCTGTTGGTCAGTGAGCCGTGCCGGCGCCGGTTCAGCTCGGCAGCGCTCCCCGTGACCTGCGTCAGTCCCTCTCCACTGACGGTGAGGGTGCTTCGCCGAGGCTGATTCTGGGCCACCGACAGCCGCAGGAACCTTGCCAGCGGCGGGCACACCTCCATCAGAAAGATGACGTACGCCCGCCGGTAGACCCGGTTGCTGAGCACGTAGATGACGTTGTTGCAGCAGTACTGCATCCAGTACACGCAGTAGAGGATGAGACTGAGGTAGCCGTATTCGTTGTCAGGGTCAGAGACGCTGAGGACCGTCAGCGGAAACACGCACACGCAGTACGTCAGGAACACGACGAAAATCATGCGCGACGTCTTGTCTTCGCGCATCTTCAGCAGTGCCTGCACATAGCCCATGTTGTTGCTGGAAGGGATACATAAATGTTGGTTTAGTACTGAGCCAAATCATTGGCTCATGTAGCGACAAGAAGCCCCAAAGCCCGAAGCGGTTATTTGATAGTTCAGCCATGGCGGAGGATAAATTACACCGAACTGAAATCACATCAGTTACCATATAGTCTCTGCTCTGACGTAAGTAGGGTAAACATGTCGACCAGCGACACAAAATTATTTACCCAAGCCAAACTGGCTGCGATGGGGCTGCCGAACTTATTCTCAGCCCTTGGCTATATCTGCAAGTTTGTCAAAGAAAGAAGAGTGGCCTGGAAGAAGCAAGTGAGCTTGAAAGATGTCGACACAAGTGGTTGTAAAGTTTCGTGTGCGATGATGGTTTGTGAATCTCCTTGAAATGCTCGCACATACCTCATTCCTGCGTGAATGTCAGAAAACATCCTTAAATCACACCTTTTCATGTATTTACGTAACGAAATACTGTACTTGCGAAACATGCAGACTGAGCGACATACATAATGAGACAACAACGACGGACATTTTGTGCATTGCAAGATGACTGTCGATCATGGTTTATAGGCATCGAAGTTCCAAAGCACTTCGGTCTTATGCGATCAGCCGCAAAGTCAGCAATATTGTGATCAGTATAGAGAGAGCAAATATCGGCGGCATTTATCGGCATTATCGGCATTTACGCCTTATCGGCGTAAGTGTATGTAACTGCATTATATGTACCTTGAGCTAGCCCACTGTTTCGTTTTATGTATTACATCGTTAAACAAGTGAGGATATGAGAGAATGTGTGACGTTTTAATCAGTTAGTTGAATCATATTGCAACAGTGTTAACTGTTGATAAAGCTATTCAAACCCTGATATATTACATACGGAATTGTCCAGGGTTCCCAAATGACAGAAGTACATGGTACTTACATGTGGAATCGTCCAGAGCCCCAGAATGAGAGGTGTGCAGTAGGCCTTGGACGGAGGAAGGTTATTACCTGAAAGGACAGGGAATCAAAGCTGGGTCGCTGTCTCCAACTAAATTACGCATTTGCGCGTTCCGCTAAAGACAAGAACTCAAAGACATTTGCTGGATGGTTTTCATCACCGAAGGCTTATCCTACCTAAGCCTAACAACACTTTGATCGACAAAATGGATATAAAACAGTGCTGCATTGGCCTCTGAACATCATCAGCAGCATTATGCATAAGTACGTACATAGTACACATTGCACGAAGTCAATCCGCATGGATGAATACACACATGGTGTGCTGCACGCAGTAACAGAAACACACACGACGAATAAACGACAAAACTGGCCAGTGCCCGAGACTGTAGAGGACCGCATCTAAAACAGTGAATTTTTACAGTTGGCACATGCGACAGTGCGCAGATTAGTCATGGCAACGACTAACGAGCCCTTCGTATGATAAGCTTTGCTATTTTACTGGCCACATTTCAATGCCACGCTTTTCCCTCCCCTTCTCCCCCTAAAAAGAAACATGTTGCACCTTCTCCAATATCTTAATAACCTTGTGTTTATAAAAGCGTGCTTCTATCACTTGTAGGTATCGCTTCAATGAACGCGGATACACGTTCATTGAAGTCTCGTCTCGTGTCGTCTCGTCTCATCTCGTCTCGACTCTCTCCCTCTCTCTCTCTCCCTCCCTCTCTCTCTCTCTCTCTCTCTCTCTCTCTCTCTCTCTCTCTCTCTCTCTCTCTCTCTCTCTCTCTCTCATTTACCTTCTCGTAACACAATGCACATCCTATCGTCAATTGCGGGTTTGCTTGATTTGTAACACAGAGAGCTTCAAACGCTAATCAGCATCATTTAGCACGTAAAAATACGTGTATGTGCGCTCGATAATGACGCAAGTGAAATACCCACGGACAATTATAATAAAACGGCCTCACCATTGTGCGCTGAGTATACCTGCCTTCAGTCCCACTACCAGCCTTAAACACAGCGCAGCATATCCTTATCCACATACAACCTGACCGGGTGCTTGTTTTTCTCCCTGACGTTCTTTAACTGGCTCGATGATGCATCCGAACCTGATAATTACGGCACGTTTTCTGCGCTCTTCAGTAATTGAGGACCTACAATTATGGCACAGACGCCCGCGTCTGCGAAACAAAGCACTTTACAAACACTTAACGATATCACTGGAATGCTTACACCCGTGTAGACAGCAGAAAGAGTATCACGACAGCTTCAGAACGACATGGACCGTTTCCGACTGAACAGGCTCCTCTTGTCGAGATGCGGCCGCCGCTCGCTGGCCGAGGCCAGTCTCCTGGATACGGTAGCAGCGATGGTGTCACAGTAGTACCAGAGCCAGGTGGAGTCGTCGAGGGCCCACCAGGCGGGCAGCGGACCGGTCGGCTTCTCCAGCGGCAGACTGCGCCGGCGGCCGGCCAGCCGCCTGCGGAGCCGGACAGTCAGCGGGGGCCGCTGCTCGGACTCGAACGTGACCTCGTCCTCACAGCAGCGCTCCAGCGACACGGAACGTCGCGGAGGGGGCGGCCGGGTCTTGCGCGGGCCGACGCGTCGTGCCACGCCCCCCTCCATGCGGCAGCTGCTCTCACTACCCGGGGACTCGCTGCTGGCGGTGGGCGGGCTGCTTGGAGAGCTCAGCGGCCCGTCCCGACTCACCGAGTCGCCACTGACCGCCGTCTGGCTGACCACGGAGTCGGCGTGTCGGAGTCGACGTGCCGCCTCCAGCACACTGTGTGTCGACTGCGACCGGAACCCGGCGATCGTGGTCACGGTGCTCTGGCGCGCCGCCTGCCACGGCGCAGGCTGGTGCAGGAACCTCTTCAGCGGCGGACACACCTCCGTCAGGAAGATGATGTAGGCCTGCCGGTAGACGCTGTTGCTCATGACGTAGATGACGTTGTTGCAGCAGTACTGGAGCCAGTAGACGCAGTAGAAGACGAGACTCAAGTAGGGGTAACAGTTCTCAGGATCGGCCACGTTCATGACGGTGATGGGCAGCACGCACACGCAGTAGGTGATGAACACGACGAAGATCATGCGGGACGTCTTGTCCTCGCGCGTCTTCACCAGAGCCTGCACGTAATCCATACTATGGCTGCAAGAAGAGCACATAAGCGTTATCTCCTGCGCTCAAAGTACCATACCATACCAAAGCACCATACAGTTTTCCGGTCCTCCGCTGCATTCAAAAGCAATGCTGTTCTTTTTGCAATGCTGCATATGTAATAATTAAGGGGATTTGTTCCCTCATGTTCCCTTTTCTAATATCATAGATAACATGAATCTGGATTGGACACGAACTCAGCTAATGCAGAATGGGGCCGAAATTTCCATATTCCAATCCAGATTCATGTTATCTATGCCAATATCAAAGAAAATAAGATTGGTATAGAGCATGGTTGGGCCATTCTCTGTAACATTGCTGTCGTCTGGTTTCTTTGACGAGATTTTACACCATTACCCATGTTTGATTTAGAAAACAAGTTAGAACGCTGACTGGTTTAAAAAAAACGCCTTATTTCATTGTCGCCTTGAATAGTTCATAAGAAATTAGGTATAGGTAATAGGTATCCATGAAAAAGAAGTTCACGCCGTGAAGTTAACCGGTTGAAGCTGACTCACCGCTTTGTTTTTAACGTTGGATGTATGTATCCTTTATTTACTACCTTTTTGAAAATTCATTCAATCATTCGATTATCTACAACAATGCAACCATTCAAAGCTATACTATAAGAGTATGAATAGGCTGTTTTCTATACAACTCAAATCAGAAGACTATGTGGAATACAAAATATGCACTCTGATTATCTGATTAAATTCAATCCGCTCAATTCTTAGGTTACAGTGTCCTACATCCAACAACTGTATTTTTACTCTTCGAACTCCTATCAACATGAAATCAAAATGCATGGATGAAATGACGGAGCATCAACTAGTATGTAACAATCTACATCGCATAATAATTATCGTATTTTTGCAGCTTTTAGGAAAAAAATGGCTGACAAACAAATTCAACTAATGTCAATGTTCTTGGGTCGTTCTAGTCTCGCAAATCTTTGGCCAAAGTAGCATCAATTATTCTGCTTAAAGCAAAGTGTAGGCATAGATATGTACATATGACTTTTAACCCTCGCCCCGTGGGGGGCAATTTGCCCCCTCCCCCCTGTGGTTTTTCCTGAATAGGAAGAAAACGGGGGCGCGCAGCGCCACCAAATGTTGGTACCTTCCCGGGCATCAATTTTACACCTTCACACAAAATTGCAAGTCTTAGGTCACCTCAGGTCAGGAGTTATTGAGGTCAAACTGAGGTCATGCTCGAGCAAAAATGAGCACAAACATAAAATCTTGAAACGCTCACAAAAGCTACAGTTAACAAGCAATTTCAAAGGTCTTTATATGGTCATGTAGAGAAATTACGGCGCTACAAAGCTGCTATCTCTGATTTTCAAAATTTTGGGATTTTGACCCCCAAAAATTAGAAAAGTTGTTTGTTTTTTAGAAAACACAAACAAATCCCAAGTTTTTTGAATTTAGAAAAAAACGGATTTTGTTATAGTCCCTCCGCTCTTCTATCCACATACCAAATTTTAGATCGATACCTACCTTCTTTTTTGGCCAAGTTATAGCGAAAAAAAAACTGTTCAAAATTGATGACGTCAAATATTTGAACTCAATTTTTTTTAAAAAAGCAATCCTAGACCACGTATCGCAAAACAAAGACCACCATTAAACTCCCCGTGACGAGCTGCATCGAATGGATACCCATTTTATGCAAAATACCAGCTTTGAAATTTGACCTAATTTGGCCTGACCTTGACCTGACCTTCACCAGAACATAATTTAAACTGGCCCCAAAGGCTGCCTGACCCACATAATGGCATTTGGCATGTAAAATGGACCATAAAACATGCATCACATGCTATTTTCTTATTGTGACCCTCAGTGACCTGACCTCTGTGACCTGACCTGGTATCAGTGACCTCAAATAGCATAATATGTGTTTGAACACTGAACTCTATAATGTGGAATGCGCATCGGCCGCCAGATGGTGTCCAACGGTGCCGCCATGTTGCGCAGACCAAGAAGCGGCCGCCGCCTGTGTTGAGGAATAGGGAATTCGGGACCTTGATTTACGTTTGCGGCCGCTGCATCCGTTACGTTCAAGCTATGTAGACACGGAACCCGGCATCTTACGCAGAATTGAGTGGAGAACAAGGTGACATCTTTAAAAATCCTCAGATGCAAGAAACTTTTACGTTAAACCCTTAGAAGTCTATGGGGAAAAATGGAAATTGCTATTTTAGCGCCGGGAATGATCTGAAACTATATCAAGCATATAGAATCATGATTTCATGCACTCCTTGCAAGGTTCTATGCCTCATATTTGCATTGTTGCCCTTGCGTGACGTCATTTGTGACGTCACAAAGGTCACAATTTTTCTTCAATAACTCCCGATCAAATTGAGCTAGAGAGTCGGGAAAGCCACCAATGGACTCAGGAAGACCTGCCGCATCGAATGATATGCGACATGACCTCTTTCGACCAACTTCGTGACCTGGAGGTGCTGACCTGACCTTGACCTGAGGTCAACACCCTCAGTTGACCTGACCCGAACAAAAAGTATATCACTCGATGCGCCTGAGCTAGCTGAACACGATGATGCCAAAATCGCGGCTCTACGGCCATTTTTGGCGAAGTTATTTACCAAAAACCGAACCCGTGCCTTAGATCACTTGACCTGACCTCAGAGGTCACCGGTTGACCTGAGACCTTTACAGCGGGTTCCTACCAGTCACTCTGCATTATACTTTGCCGCATACGACCACTTAACCGCTTAATTCTAGCTTACTTAGCGGCGCATTAGCGGGGTGGGTTCAATCAACCCCCTCGGCCGGGGCAAATGTAGGTCCGGCGAGTGAATTTGAGGAATTCTGAAGATACGATCGTGTTCCCCACTCAATTCTGCGTAAGATGCCGGGTTCCGTATCTTCGTAACTTGAACGTAACGGATGCGGCGGCCGCAAACGTAAATCGAGGTCCCGAATTCCCTATTCCTCAACACAGGCGGCGGCCGCTTCCTGGTCTGCGCAATATGGCCGCCACCGTTAGACACTACGGCCAATAGGGTTGAAGCAGCAGTGCTCCCCTGTGTGTTTGACAAACAATTCCCCACCGATGGTTTTCAATGAAATGCATTTTACCCGATTTTACAACACATTTCTTGAGTTGAAATGCCTGTAAACTGTGCAAATTCGACATTTGACCTGACTTGTTACGTCATCGGTTTGACCGAGGTCGATGAAATTGGGTCAAAAGATGGTTCCCCGTTGGGGCTATCCAACACCGTCTGCTGCTTGTCGCTATGTTGCGTGGTTCTTGAGATCTTGGGGGGGGGGGCATTTTGCCCCCCCCCCCAACAGGGCGCGTTGCTCGGCAGACCCCAACGGGGCGCGGTTTACCTAAATCACCTCAAAAGGCCTGCTTTGCTATGGTGGTCGCAAAATCAATACAAAATATGATGTATTCCTTTTGAAAACATTATAGGTGTAGGGTTTGGATAAATTGTTATACCTAGGTATCCCAATTGACGTGTTTTTAGTTATCGTCCATTCTGATGTGAAACAAGGATACTGAATAGGGCACACTCACCAACAATTTTTGAAAGCAAAGAGGCACCAGATTAAGTATAAATGGTAGTTAGAAGCATGAGAACACATACCGCTCAAAAAGTTGCATCTCACAATGAATAGAGACAAAGAAACCAGACTATGGACAGCTTAGGAAGATTCGGAAGGGAAACGACTAAATAGACAGCATTGCTTCGAAGATGTCCCCGAGCTCAGATTTGATAGGTCACAAGAATTCAAATCACGATCCCATGATAAATTTCACATCAGTACCTACACAGTATGCACTAACTAGATCAAACCTTATCGCATGATGAATTGGCAAGCGTATTATACCTCCTACATTTTACACAAGAAGTTAAGAGATGACTGGTTTCAGGCCATCTTTCTAACGATATAATAAATATACATTATTCATAGTCAAAGAACGACAAGCACGCAAATCACTAGCATGACTATCTATTTCCTTGTGAAATAAATAGTCATAGATAGTCATTCGACAAGCATTTAACAAACTTACTTTTTCATGAGGATGCTGCGGCCGGACTGTTTGACCTTGATGAAGATCAGTGAGTAGCTGACGACGATGATGACACAGGGGATGGACCAGGAGATGAGGAACCAGTTGGAGCGGGGCTGCGTGTCGGGAGTCGTGTTCAGAAAGTCGCACTTGTGGGTCTCGTCACTCCAGCCATATTTGCCGTACACCTGCCGAAAAAAGGGAATAACGCTCTTGTAAATGCTTCGACATGGGGGATGCTATAGCCTACCAATAGTCATGCATGTATCTGGACGGTGAAATTCCACTACAATTAGCTTATCAGCTCCCTGAAGGCCGATAAAGACATGCACTGTCAGATACGTGCTCGATCATATCATTTTTCTTTATATAGTGCAGAATTCACCTGAAGTCAACGTTTCTTAGATTTTACAAAATTAATAATATGATGTATATAACTCCTTGCTTGAAAAAATAAAGGATTGATGAGCATACAAATGATGTCCACTAACACTTCACGACGCGACTACCCCACTGCGAGTAAGTATAGCTGTAGCTCCGCGAGTTGCATAATGCATGGAGTGATGACAAATACAAACATGTTCTGTGTATCCGATATGCACCCTATATGGTCCAGTCTGAAGGGAAATGAAACAGTAATGGGCATTGACATTTGCTGCCAGTGGTGCTCAATACGTAATGCCAGCGTCATTGAGCTAAGTGAGAGTCGATCTGATGCATCCCCTAGTGACGTCACACGGCATGCAATATGACGCTGCTTATGTTGTTAACCTGTACCGATCCATGCTAACATCATCTGATCCCCACCCACGCCTGGCTGATGCTGGGTGAAAGGTCAGGTCATCCAGCCGGCGGCACACCCACGCCGGCTGGGAGGTGAGTACCGACTAGTGATGTCAATTACGGAAAATCGGAGTACCGATACCAGTCCAAATACCAACAAAACCCGTGGGGAAATACCTAAACCTAACCAACTTGGGAAAATGAGGGAAGTACCAACTTTTTACCGATTTCCTAGCCACTTTTACATTAGTTAGGGTTCATGGTACCTACCAACAAAATACTAAACACATTAGGATTGAAATACCAAATACCAAGTTGGTGTCGGTTTGGTATCGGCATACCAAAAAGTTGGTATCCGATTGACAACTCTAGTACCGATGCCCCGGTGTGGGGAGAGGGGCGGGGGACAGGGCTGCACCGACCGGAACCGTTTCTTATGATAATGAGACACGGCACTCCACAGCCACGCCATCGCCCGAGGGAGGGGGAGCGGTGTACTGCCGTCGCAGAGTGAATGGGGGTTGTATTGATGATGTACAAATGTGACAGATGATGGGTGGCTTTTAGAGCTGGAAGGCAATATAGGCATTTAGCTGTAACATCATAATGTGTGATGGCTAGCTTGACACAGCGGTAATATGGAGGCAGATAGAGTCGCAGGCCGCTTCTTTAACACGTTGAACTTGCGAAGGACGGTGAGAAACGGGACATATAAACAAAGCTTTGATCTACAATTTTGGGAGAACGTGATTTCAAAGTGGTTCAATCATTTTGGGAAAGCGCAATGTTAGGAATTTCCATACCTTTCTCGTTCAACATGTCAGCAAAAAGAAATGACATGCATTCAAGACAAACTTAAACTACCTTCAGTTCGAACTCAACACGAAATTTGGACGCTCCTTAGAAAATTCTTACAACCCATGGTCGTTCTTTAACAGTGTGAAGCCAGCCACACTGCAGCCAGGAGGGAGCAAACTGCGAAGCTTGCATGACGCACAGTTGCACCACAGTGTGCAATCATCGGCTCCTCTGTGATATCCTGTCAGTGGTGTTTGCCATCCTTGTGATAGGGCGAGCCACCTATCACAGCGTGGGTCCCGCGCACACACAATCCACCGCGTAATATCCGAGCGGGCAGGATTCAGCTAATCAGCCCCCGTTGTGTCAATAGTACGCATGGCTCAGACTGGCACGCCACAGACACTATCTGTCGTGCGGGATTAACCAAATGCTGGGGATGCCCGCGTCAGTGTGTGAGCGGGAGGGATAACAAGGGTCCGGCAGGGGCTGGACGGGTCTGAGTCATGGTCTGTAACTAACGGGGGCTGTTTTAGCGTCAGTTGCTGCTCGCTGCTCAGGTGTTGCACAATGTTATGCTAATTCGGGTATGTTAATACCCGAATTATAGTTATCGGTTACTCGTAAAAACATGTTAACCCTCGCCCTGGCAGGGGGGTCGATGCGACCCCCACCCTAAGGTTTTTCGAAGATAGCGTAAAAACGGCGGCGCGCAGCGCCGCCAACTTTGGCGCAGCCTATGGGGCAACCTATTTACATATGACCTGAAATATTCAGGTCCGGGTGACCTTGGGTCAGGTCACCAGGTTAGAAAAACCGGTACAAGGTCATGGTCAAATTTAAATTTTCTTTTTGCACCTGTCCAACTCACAGTTTTGGACTGATTTCCTTCAAACTTTCAGGATGTGCTAAGTTCACCGAGTTGTATAACATATAGTTCGGGTTTTTTTTGAGGTCACTGGCCTGAGGTCAGGTAGAGGTCATTACGTCGTAATGTTAAGCCTATGGGAAAATACTAAATTCGGAAAATACTGGAGATATCCGCTTCGTTCTATCACTTTTGTGCTTTGAAACCACAGTACTTAACAGCAGGTCACTTGGTGCTTCTTTGTTTGGTGTACTTATCCATGGGTCAGGCCAAATGAGGTCAACTGAGGTCAAATGACGTTTTTGCCAATAACTTGGCACATACACTGGCGGATCCAGACTTGCGTTTTGGGGGGGGCCAACTCGTGCAAGGAGCCAAACCTAGGGTACCCCCAAATCCTGTTTTCTCATCGGATTTAGGCCACTTACAGGGTGTTTCACAATTACCGTTACAAGAGTTCCCACTCAATTTTGGTGCACTTAGAGGTGGTTTTTCTGAAAACACTATACACCATTGGAAAGAGCACATAATTCTGGTCCTGGTTAATTGCATTTTGAATGCCCTTTGGACAGATAATGGGTGTAGCAGATGAAAGACTGATCCAAATGAGGTCCTAGTCTGCGATTATCTCGAATATCAGGATTAGAGCCTGTGTGATAAGCTTGTTGCTCGCGGACCTGTTTGAAGACGGCTGTACATGGCTGCGTGATGTAGTCAACAGGCATCTATTACGCACCTCCTGTATGAATTTCAAGTCTTCAACGCAGAGGCTTCAATGGCAATGACTTCATTTCCTACCTCGTGCCTGGCAGAAGATCCCGACGCGGTTGTGCGTGCCGCAGTATGTGACTTCAGGAGACGGTTGGCTGCCGCTGTGAAGGCTGGAGGCGGCCACTTCGAGTAGGACTTAAGGATGTTGGTCTCTGTTGTTTTGGGTGCATATGGTGCAATTTTGGCGGAAATAAAGTCATTATGCCCAGAGATATTGAGCTTTGATCTTGTAACGTTAATTGTGAAACACCCTGTATTTTTCGTCACAGCCCTGAAACGATATTTTTTTTAAACTAAAAAAAAATAGAGAGAGAAATGGTAGCCCACTCAACCCGTGCCTTAATATTACTTTGAAAACACTTCAAATTGCTTTTGTCGAACACCGCTCCGGGTCGGTGCTTGGCGCAGCCTTCGCGGGCTGGGAGGTGTCGGTTGAACCTCTCTGCCGTTCGGCCCCTGATCAAGCTAGAGCTCGCGGAAAAAACGAGTGTGTTGCCTGTCAGTGACGAGAGGAAGCCGATGATACCCGATTTTAAGGTCCTTGGTCATTGGTTGACCTTCCAGGGCGGTGTTTCACGGTCGCGCTGCCAGCCGCTGCCAGCGCATTCCGCGAGCTAAGGTCAACCTTCGGTAGTGTTGTAGGTATAGGCTAGTTGATGTCTCCATGGAAACCAAAAGTGCCAACAGCGCTGGCAGCGTGCCGTGAAACACCGCCCAGGTCAGGTCACAGACCCAAAAGACGGGAAAATCAGGGCCTGTCAGAACCTCCTAGAGTAAGGCTGTAATATATTTTTTTGTGCTGATCACGAATTTCATGTTAGTTTGGATCATAGATGATGTCTTCATGCCTTTAGGCCATGTTGGGGCAGGCCAGGTCAGGTCAACCAGGTCAACCAGTACTTATGGGCGTCCGTGTAGCAGGTGTCCGACTACCACTGGCAGCTACGTAACATGATACGAAGGCATCAAAACTACTTCGTAAATGTTCAAATGGTTGCTAAATGCTAAATTCAAAATCAGCTAAACGAAACTATCCTAGAAACATGTTAAACTCGGAAAAGTGCACCGAGGTCATCAAAGGTCAATGACCTGACTTGACCCTAAGGTGACATTGACACCTACCACAATGGTTGGGACCAACATCATTTCACATGTTTGAGCGTTTTAAACCACGAAAAGACTGTAAACGAGCGGATAATGTGAGCCGACATACGCGGAATCGCGATTCCGGCCAAACATGGCCTCCAACATGGCCAAACATATGGTGCGTTCGGAGAGGCACATTCCACGTGGAATCCGTGGAATACTCCATGCGCGCGGAACATTCCCGGAGATTGGCCGTTCAGAGAGATACGCCTCCGAACGCGGCACGGGGAATATTCCAGGGGACGGTGAATATTCAATGCTCTCCGAACGCACGGATAGTCTCGAGAAATAGGCCACAGGTCAAAGGTCACTTGGGTCAGGGTCATGAAATTTTCATACTTTGTCAACATGAGGGTGCTAAAGTTTCGTCGCGATCGGATTCATGATAACTTACACGATAACTTCACGCGTCGATCGAGAGGTAAAGTATGCAATAAGAACTTCTTGGGTGAAGACGAGACCAACACTCAAGCTCACATATTTTTAATGATACGGTAGTTTCTACCTACTACGCTACTTTCTCACATTCATATTTCTTAAGTGTTTTTGGGGGCCAAAATACATGTTGCCCCCTTTCAGGCTTGGTGGCATGACCCCGTGGCCCCCCTGGATCCGCTAGGCCGAAACTAACTAGGCCGTTTTCAAATGGTCTGATATTTCAGGTCATGGTTTGCAAACGGCCGGTGTTTTCAGGCTGTTTCATATGCCCTGACTGGGCCAGGCCGTTTGCAAACGGACAATTTTCATACGGCCTGTAACATATATTCATATTTCACCATCTGTCGCAGCATCAAATGCTGATGTGGTGCACTCAAAAGCCGGAATTGGTCCTTGGATGCCGTAAGGACCCTTTTAAGAAATAAGTGACCCGACTGACCCCTTAGAGATTGGCCTGAGCTCTGACCGAAATAAGTCTTTTACCGTTTCACGGGAAGGGACAAAAAGGTCCCTGATATGCTTCTTGTACAATTACCAAACAAAACAAGCTTTTCAACGCCAACTCAGTGAGTGTTCCTAAAAAAATTATTGCGCATATTCCGTGAATGAAAAATTGCCGGGTCATGTCAGGTCAGGCTGCCAGAGCAAGTTTGTTAACTTGACAGTTCAATCGATATGTATGCAATAAGACCTTCTCGGGTGACGACAAGACATGACGACACTTTATGAAGGAAGCTAGTAAACCCGGTGGTTTCTCCATAGGCACGGGAACCGGGGCAGTGGGGACAGCTTGCCCACCCCCCAACAATGGGGCCGTGGGGGCGGTGCCCCCACAACTTTCAGACGGAATACCCCATTTTTTGCAAATGTTTTCTTTTTTTGTTGAAAAAAGCCAAGGGATGAAAAATAAGTGGCCTAAAACCACCGGTGAGAAAACTATATTTGGGGAGACCCTAGGTTGATCTCTATTATGGTGTGCCCCCCCCCCCAATCTGAAAGTAGTTCCCGCACCCCTGAGTTTCTCTACGCTATTGAATCACGCCGGTGATTCTAACTTTTAGGTATCTACTACGCAACCTTCTCACATTAATTTTTCTTCAAGCGTTTTGGGAGGGGGGCCAAAAGATATGTTGGCCCCCCTTTCAGGCTTTTGGGGGCCATGGCCCCGGTGGCCCCCTCCCTGAATCCACCAGTGGGGGGCGGTGCCACCACAACTTTCAGACGGAATACCGCCCTTTTTGCAAATGTTTTCTTTTTTTGTTGAAAAAGCCAAGAGATGAAAAATAAGTGGCCTAAAACCGGTGAGAAACTAGATTTGGGGGGACCCTAGGTTGATCTCTATTATGGTGTGCCCCCCCCCCCCAGTCTGAAAGTAGTTCCCGCACCCCTGACTTTCTCTACGCTATTGAATCACGCTGCTGATTCTAGTAGGTATCTACTACGCAACCATCTCACATTAATTTTTCTTCAAGCGTTTTGGGGGGGGGCCAAAAGATATGTTGGCCCCCCCCCTTTCAGGCTTTTGGGGGGGGCCATGGCCCCGGTGGCCCCCCCCTGGATCCGCCAGTGGGCACATAATGACGCTAGAGCTTAAAAATGGAGTCATTGTGTTCCTTGTGATCAGCCGAATCGAATGATATGCGATATGATGCAATTTGGTTAACTTGAACTTAATTAATTATTTAAATTTTACTTAAAATTTAAGAAAAACTTTAAGTACACTTAACCCTCGCCCGTATTGGTGTTTTTCCAGCCGCGAACGTATAAGGGGGGGGGGGGGGTCCGTTGGACCCCATGCCGTTTAGCACCTGATCGAGCTAGAGCTTCGCGGAAAAAACGAGCGTGTTGCCCGTGACGAGAGGAAGCCGATGATACCTCATTTTAAGGTCCTAGGTCATTGGTTGACCTTGCAGGTCAGGTCAATGACCCAAAAGTCGGGAAAATCGGAACCTGTTAGAACGTCGTAAAGTGTGGCTGCTATGGGGTTTTTCGGGGCGCTGATCACGAATATCATGTTAGTTTTGATCACAGATGATGTCTTTATGCATTTAGTCCAGGTCGGGTCAGGTCAGGTCAGGTCAACCAGTAGGTTCCTAGTAGGTGTCAACCGCCTCTGACAGCTTCGTAACATGTTACGAAGGCACCAAAACTGCTTTGTAAATGTTCAAATGGTTGCTAAATTCGAATTCAGCTCCAAAAACTGGCCTAGCAACATGTAAAACTCGAAAAAGTGAACCGAGGTCACCCGAGGTCACCAAAGGTCAATGACCTGACCTGACCTTCAGGTGACCTTGAAACCCACCCTAATGCATGGGGGCAACATCATATCACATGTTTGAACGCTTGAAACCACGAAAAGACTGCAAACGCGCGGCTAATGCGAGCCGACATACGCCGAATCGCGATTCCGGCCAAACATGGCCTCGAAAAGTAGGTCACAGGTCAAAGGTCATTGGGGTCAGGGTCATGAAATTTTCAGGGTAGGTGTAAAATTGATTAACGCGAGGGTACTGAGAGTTTCGGCGCGATCGGCCGCTTTTTACGCGAGTTATTCGCGAAAAAACATGGGGGGGTCCGTTCGACCCCCCCCTATACGGGCGAGCGCTAAGCAGGCTCAGCGTGCTAGAGAATAGGCATATTTGCGGAGCTTTAATATAATTGCTGAATGATATTCTTGGCCGAGTAGCTTACCCCGAAAATTGATAGTCCTTGTGTCAAAAAGCCGTAGAGCCAGATGAGCACAATGATGAGATAGCTTTTCCAGCCTCCAAAGATGCGGCCCTTCCACTTGAAGCTGAGCAGACACACGCATCTGCAACGAGAGAGATAGTCGTGTCAGCTCGTTGGACCCATTTTCTTCAGTAGAAACCTGGTGCATGCTAACAGAGCTATTTTGCGGGATATGTTATGCATTGCACATGCATAAAAAAGCTTCTCAGATTTCCTTATTTAAACTCAAATGCGAATGAACGGACGGATATCGGACATTATCGGATATCGATGCAATATGGTAAATCTCATTATGCCTGTACCATCAGATGTATACCGTGTAAATGCCATCAGATTCAGTCATAAATCGACCAAGTGTTTCGTGTTCTTTCAGCAGGAAACACTGTATAGTGTATATTATATATCGAGCACACGACATTTTGCGCAGATCAACGTGCTTACTCGTACTTTGCAGATTTGTTGCACAGAGATCTGCTAGAAATACTTTTTTCTATCGGCTATTTCCTCATTTCCCCAACCAGGAAACACCACCCCGATCTCCGCATCCCTTTGACCTTGATCTATATGACTTGCCGCTTTATCAGCTTGTTTATCTTTCGACAGCGGCCTGCATTCTTGGATGAACGCAATAAACGATGAATCCTGAGCACATATGGTGAAAATCTGGCATCAACACCGCATAAAGGAACACTGGGACGCTTTTTGGAGAGGCACGTGCACTTTCAGCCGTGTCGGCGTACTGCACAGATTGTTGTTTGTTCTGTGACCTGCGAATGCTGCGTTTGAAGGTTGGCCATCCAAACGTATGGTGAGCGGCGCCTTTGTCGACGAGCAGCCGGCGCCTGTGTGAGCTGTTTGTTGAAAACGGCGGCCCGGCGGCGAGTGATGAGGCTCCTTAGTGAAGAAAATGCGGGCTAAAAATGAATGCGCGCGCGATCAATAGGACCCAAGTCACACAAGACAGGGTAAAGACAAATTGACAAGGTTTTAGTCGAATAATAGCTGAGATAATATGAAATGTCCACAATGAACTGGGTACCTTCAGCAAATAATCCCCTATTGGATCAAACATTTCAAAGAAAGAAAAGTTTTATTTTCGGGTATCTCCCTATTCCCAAAAGAAAGCCACATTAAATAAAGGAAAGGGTGTCAAATCATCATGACACAAATTGTTGGAGAATTAGTATTTACCTAATTACCGTGTGTGTAAAAGGCAGTGGCTAATACATACCTAACACATTCTATTTAACTAGGCTCTATACAAATTCAAGGTGAACCCACTTTATGCAAGTAGCCCACATAAAGACATTTCATCGAATAAATCCAGGAATACGCAATAAAATCTCATGATATATCATGCAGTTCATTACCATCTAGCACAATGCTTCTGCTGAGCCTGCAGGCCTTTTAAAGGCACCAAATGTGCGCATCAAAACTAACTTTATCCGAGAGCCAGCCATGAGGCATTTCACCTAGGCGCATGAATTCCACGAACCATAAATTCACGCAGAATAAGTAGGGTGCGGCTGGCGTCAGCTGGTGACCCATATTCCCACTCAGAATTGAGGTCACCGTGGCTCGGCTGGCCCAGCCAACGAGATAGAGTTGATAGACGGATCAATTGTCTGCAATAAATACGCCTTCTGTCTACTGTGACCTTCAATGGAATGTCTGTCGGCATGCCTGTCACCACGAAATTGACGGAGGCGGGGCGATAAGCGAGGGAGCAACTTTTAAAAGCGTTTGAAGCCATTCGATCACCCTCGGAGGCCAATGGGAAAGCACAAGACATCACGGGATTGGTGACTTTTTATTATGCATGAGCTAAGTATGCTTATTACATGCCTGTCTCATAGGCTATACTGCTATGCTTCACACTGATTGCTTCTGTTTTTTTTTTTCATTGAAGAGCACTATGAGAACTTCCGATCATATAAAAAAAAAGAATGTTGAACGCAATCATTAGCGTAGGGGTGCTCAACCCGGCGAAATGCTTTCCACATGTCGACAGCAGGGCTGATGCCTTCTCGATGCCTATATGACGTACCCTGTCATTTGGTTGAAGACCAGACAGAGCTGACAACGCGCAGTAAGCTATTAAGGGCTATCAGGCCCATGACTGCGGCCTGAATGCGACCATTACGCTCAGCTCTCAGCTCTGCTCTGCATGCAATATGCGCCATGAAGTAGCTTATCAAAATCAAATGGCTTATGAAATGAATTCCCATACCCCGAGATGATGGTTTCGGTTGCTGTTCATTGTTCATTGCTGTGCTCGCTCTTTTCTTATTTGCTCATTTCTGTTTATGTTACAATGTTCTTCTGAACCCTCGCCGGGCCTGGGCAGGGATGTGAGCGGTGTTCGAAGGAGTATAACAAGTAATGAAGAAATACCTTAGATTATGTTTTAGGTCAGGTCAAAGGTTAGGACACGAGAAGCCATCAAAGGTCGCATTTCACCTACTTCGTCACTTTTGGTCGAAACGGCGTGTAACTCAGGAACGAATATAGATACGGCGCCGCGGAGAAGCACATTTGATAGCCTCTTTAAAGCTCTTGCTGATTAATTGTCTCAGATTTGACCTAAGGTCAACGCTTTAGCCTCCAGACTGCATAAACTGTCAAAATTAACGCTTTGCACAAATGTTTTTCTGCAACTATTTTCGACTCAAAACTTGCACGACATGTGATTTTACCGGCGTCGATTTAACTATGATTTGGTCTTAATTTTTTTTTTAAATTTTAGGTCAAGGTTATGATCTGGGGTCATGCTGCATAGCAGCCGATCCGTATCGTTAAGCTGAACACATCCAAAGTGTTGTCATCGCTCGAGCATGTTTCTGGGGAAGTGTTCGAGCATATCTCTATCACAATGTCAAATTGGTCAAAGCGGATTTCAAAATTGTCAAAGCGGATTATCTATTGGATTCATAGGCGTAGGAACCGGGGGGGCCAGGTGGGCAAGTGCCCACCCACTTTTCGAGGTGGGGGGGCCAACCATGTGTTTTGGCCCACCCACTTTTTACTCGAGGCCCCTCGTTTCGATTTGAGAGGACGTCGTCACCTTCCAGAATAAACAAACTCGGTAAAACAAAGTTCCACGAATCCCCACGCACGGACTCCAAATGGCCGTGATGGATCCAAGGAGGCCCTCTGTTCATACTTGTCAGTCGAAGCCCCTGAGACTGATGGCCTGAGAGGCCCTAGTGGATCTGAGGAGGCCCCAATATTCACACTGGTCTGGGGAGGCCCCTGACACTGGCGGTCTGGGAGGCCCCTCTATCCACACTAGTCAGAGGTCTGAGACTGGTGGTCTGGGAGGCCCCTCCATCCACACTAGTCAGAATAGGCCCCTGACACTGGTGGTCTAGCCGAGGCCTCCTACCCTTACTAGTCAGAGGAGGCCCCTCTATTATCAATAGTCAGAAGAGGCCCCTGAGACTGATGGTCTGGGAGGCCTATCCATCTACACTGTAGTCAGAGGAGGCCCCTGAGACTGATGACCTGAGAGGCCCTTATAATCACACCAGGCAGAAGAGGCCCATGAGACTGATGGACTGAGAGGCCCTTCTATATTCATACTGGCCACAGGAGACTCCCAAAACTTTCGGTCTGGGAGGTCCCTCAATCCGGCACCAGTCACAAGAGTCCCCTGAGACTGATGGCCTGGGAAGCCCTTATATTCACACTAGGCAGAGGAGGCCCCTGAGACTGATGGTATGAGAGGCCCTCATATTCACACCAGTCAGAAGAGGCCCCCGAGGCTAATGGCTGTGAGGCCCTTCTGTTCATATAACTGGCCACTGGAGGCCCCTGAAACCGGTGGTCTGGGAGGGCCCTCTATCCACACATAGTCAGAAGAGGCCCCTGAGACCGATGGTCTGAGAGGCTCTTATATTCATACTGGCCACAAGAGGCCCCTGAGACTGATAGTCAGAGAGGTCCACTCCTAATGAATCTGAGGGGCCCTCTATCCACATTTACACTTTTCTAGGGAGGCCCCCGAGACTGATGGTCTGAGAGGCCCTTTTATTCATACTGTCCACAGGAGCCCCCTAAGATTAATGGTCTGAGAGGCTCTTCTATTTATACTAACCAGAGGAGGCCCCTAGGATTGATGGTCTAACAGACCCTTCTATTTATACTAGCCAGAGGAGGCCCATGAGACTGATGGTCTGAGAGGCCCTTCTATTCAAACTAGGCAGATGAGAGTGTGAATGATGATGTGATAGTGAGAATGATGGTCCGAAGACCCATGCGGCGGCAACTGGCCGTGGTCATATTTCGGCTCGGTAGGGCCCCACAGAGCTCATGAGAGCACCTCAAGGGCTCCTAAGTAGACACGCTTATCCCCATAAGGGTGCCACACCGGCTTCTGAAGGCTCCTTGTAGGCATTTAAGGGCCCTTTCCGGCCTCTAACGGCTCCACCCGCCTGTGATGGCTCCACACCAGTGTTTATGAGCGCCACACAGCGGCGCCTTTGAGGGTCATACTAGTGTCTCTCAGGGCCCTATATCGGTGGCTCTGGGAGCCCCACACCGGCGCCTCTGTGGGCCACCACACCTGTGCATCTCAAGGCTCTATAGGTACATCTGAAGGACCCACACCGACATCTCCGAGGGCCCCACACCAGTATCTCGGAGCTCTGAAGGCCCCACACCGATGACTCTGAGGACTCACCGGCTCCTGAGAGCACCATGTTGATGTCTATCTAACGGCTCCACAAGGCCACTGAAGGCACCACACAAGCTCTCACTGAGCTCTAATGTCCATGTACCGGGCACCGGCCTCTGAGGGATTTAAGCCAGCGCATTCATAGCTCCACACCAGCAATTGTAAGGGCTTCACACTGAAGTATCTGAGGGTTCCACACCGGTGTCTCTAAGGGCCACATACCGGCATCTCTGAGGGCCCCATACCGGTGTCTCCGAGGGTCCACATCTGGCGGGCACCCATCAGCGACTGAAGGTCCCACACAGTCGACTCCGAGAGCCCCCCAGCTGCGTCTGGGAGTACCATGTCGTCTCTAAGAACCACAGCGGCTCCTCCGTACGAAAGATGGGCGTCTGAATGCCAAAGGG